AAACTTCCCTGGACAAACTCTTTCACAAGGAGCTCTACTGCTTCTAAATACCTTTTTTAAACAGCCTGTAAAGTACCACATGCGACTTATAAACTACATAATATACATACATCAACTTACAACGAAACAAACAAATGGAATTATAGCAGCAAACGTGAGTTTGAGTAACCGGTACCTATTGTAACTGAAGTTTATAATTTATATAGACTGCCGGCTGAAGTGTAGTGTACAGTCATGTCGACTCATCCAGACAACAGAGTCTGATGTGATTATACAACAAAAATATGATAAATACATAATTTCGTTATTTAAAATAAGACCTATCTATAGGTATTTTTATAATTTTTGTATCTTATTTCGTTTCGGACATATAAAATCGAACACCGGTCGATCTGATATCTACAGCGAGGAACAACGAACGAAATGTAGAATGTTCTGAGAATAAGCAGTCTGGCACGTAGGTCTTTGTTCTACGGGTGAGTCGATGTGCATAATAAGTACGTATGTAGATTAAAATACTCTGCATCAATAATAAATTGGCCACATTTGTCAATTTTAGGAAGTAAAATATTTCAAAATTTCGACTAACGTTTCAGGAATTAAAATTGAAATGCACGTGACTGTACCCATTATAAAATATGTAGTTGTTGGGATAGTGGCCATGAATTACACCCGGTCGACCGCCAAAAACAATTTTAATAACAATGCATTGAACTTCAATGCTTAAAATTTGCAACACGTGACGCCAAAATACATGCGTAGCAATTTCGCAACTTGCCTTTGAAATAGTTATTTGCCTTTCTAATCTCTATTAGCGAAATAAATAGATAGCCAGTAGTGAGTAAGAAATAAATATGTAACAAACCAAATGTAGGTTATTAAATTTGCTTTGTTACATATCCATTTTGTTGTTTACCAAATGTACGTAGTTTCTCACTATAAATTCCTTCTAATTATACATGGGGTGCACTATAACTTTCCGGAACTGGCCACATACATAAACAATTATATAACAATAATAATTTTAAATATTTAAAAAGTAATTACAACATTTGAAAATGGAACTCTTTGGCTGTATTATACAGTTTGTTTTACCTGCCTGTCACTTATTTTTATATTGTGGCGTCATTTTAGAAATTTGAGATTTAACTCGTGAAAATTTTCGTAGTATGATTTTCTACGACTTTAAGTGTAATTTAACGGCTCAGCGGAGCTTCCCTCGGCTTTAAACTGCTGTTGGCGATGAAGCACCATGCAAGACTGGTTTGCAGAATTCAAACGCGGTCTTGTGAATCTCAGTGACGAATTTCGTGATGGTCGCCCGTCCACTGCTGTGAATAACAAAAACATCGATGCTGTGCGCCGTATGATCAAAACAGACAGCCATTTTACATACCATGAGATTCGAGTATCTTTAGGCATAGGCATGAGTCAAATACAATTAATACTACACAAACATTTGGGTGTGAAAAAGCTGTGCACTCGGTGGATTCCACACAATTTGACTGAGGCTCAAAAAACGGATCGCGTCACTTGGTGCAATGCCATGCTTACCAGATTCAACGAAGGGGCGTCAAATTTGGTGTGGGACATAGTAACAGGTGACGAAACATGGATTTATAGTTATGATCCCAAACCAAAGCAGCAATCGAGCATAATGGGTCTTTCGAGATGAGCCGAAACCAACCAAAATGGCGCGCATGCAATTATGCCTCTCAGCGGATGATTGCTTCTTTTTTTTAATAAAACTGGACACGTGGCTCTGTTACTTTGGAGAATCGTTGTACCGTGAATAGTGATTGGTACACGATCATTTGTTTGCCGGAAGTTATTGACAAACTCCGTAAAAATAATCGAAACGCCGTATCGTCTTGCACCACGATAATGCCGGTTCTCACACGGCCAGACAGATTAATGATTTTTTGAAGATGAACAACGTTGACCTTATGAGTTATCCCGCGTACAGTCCCGACCTGGCACCTTGTGACTTTTATTTATTTCCAAAAATTAAGAACCAGTTAGGCGGTCGACGATTTTCATCACCTGAAGAGGCTGTCGAAGAGTACAAAAATATGTTTTAGAGATTGTCACGGAGTAGTGGCATAAATGTTTTCAAAATTGGTTCATTTGTATGAAAAAGTGCATTAACGCTAACGGAGAATATTTTGAGAAACTATAAATTCATTTCTGACCATTTATAGTATTTTTTTCGCATTCATTCCGGAAACTTATATAGTGCGCCCCACGTATTAACGCAAATAACTATTTTTGAAGCACATTGCGAACACAGAATATGTGACTAGCGAAGTCACATATTCTGGCGGATCTAGCCACTTAATGTTCTTGCACCATAAAAATTAAAAAATGCATGTTGTTTCTGGTAAACAAAATAAATAAGCATTAAGTATATTATTTACTATGATTTTTTGTAAGATGCTACTACTGTTTAAATTTGTATTGAATTGATATTCAATTATTTTTTATGTGAAATTAAACCACTGGTTTGTTATAATTCTTAATACGAAGATCGAACACTTAGAAAAAAATCCATCGATCCGGCCGTATTCGAACCGACGTCTTCTAGCAAATCGTACCTGTTACTATGTTCAACTAAGCCACAACACGGAACGAACCAGTAACCAGTAGTACTACTAGCTACAAAAAGAACAATAATATTGAAGGAAAGCTCATTAATTGAAAACACATTTAAACTTGGAAACAAAATCTTTCTACGGAACGGTTACCATGCTGGTCTGCCACGCAGAGGTCCCGAGTTCGATTCCCAGACAGGGAGAAATATTTGTATGACCTACATTTATCCTACATTTATTTCTCTCGTGAGTTTGGAATTGTTTATACGTGTATCCATGGCACCCGCGCCACAGGGTTTCCCTGGTGCGGGGCTATGTTGAGTGTGTGCGTTATTATTATTATTAAACATGTCCCATTGTTCCGAGCTGCAGGTCTATGCCATCTATATGATAAGTAAATAAATATTTGAAAATACTCTGAAAGTACTACTGTAAATGGTGCGCCCTCTATCCTCTTCGGAAATAAGTAAACAAGTATACGACTATCTTTCCAGATGAGTATACCTAATTTCAACCAACGCCTACCCTATTAGAAGACTGCCGTCATGAAATAAAATCTGTGGAATATTTTTTTCTCTGTTTTATTCAACTTGAGTTGCTAGTTTCAGTCTTAAATTTTCGTTAACATCTTTAGTAGCGGCCTTTTAATACAGTTTTTGTATTCGACGCATATAGTGCCTATTATCAGCCCATGTTGCTGTAATTGTAATATATTGGTTAGGGCGAAGTTATTTACGAAAAATATATCTTATCACTTTTTTCTTTCTCTTTCTAACTTAGTATGTCTATGCTGGGAATACAACCAGGCGGGCGTTTCGTCTGGCAGGTGATTAGTTCTCTAGCAGGACTACTTTACATATACGTGTTAGGGTGTATATGCCTGTATATGTTTTATTTACCTTAATAGTAATGGGCTTTGGCGGAATTCTTTTTGATAAAAGCTTAATAAATACCTACTGCATTACTCAGCGATATTAGATTTAGCGATCGTGATAAATGTATGAATGTTTTAATTTTCACAAAATATATTTAGATAAGAAGTAAATACAACAAAATAGAGAAAGATTGGTTAGGTAGATTAGGTAATTTATCAGTAATTACCGCGGCCTATCGCAAAAGGATATCGAAAAAGATGTCACGAAGCCTGTATTTCACAGTGTTCTTACCGCGAACTGTCAATATAAGATATTAATATTGATAAATGTCATAAAATAATTAGTACAAGTCACGTGTTACGTACATCTAAAATATCTTTTGTAGGTTTTTTGTTAAATATTAGCAAATTAGGACAATTTCGACAACTTATCGTAAAATTGGTAATAAGAAATGTTGAAGGTCACCATCTAATAAAATATTTGACAATCTCGATACAATTCGCATGTGCAGTGGTTCCACGATACGAAAATAAGTCATAATCAGTAGTTGTTGTTACATAAAAAAATACAACTATACACTTGACAAGTTGCTCTGATCGCAAAGTAAGTAATCAAAGCACTTGTAAAATCGGAAACGACGACGGTACCACAAACACCCAGACCCGAGAGACGACATACAAAAGTTAGTTTTCTACATTGATCCGGCCGGGGATCGAACCCGGGACCTCAGACATGGACAAAAATGTCCATCCTTATGCTATGTAACCGAAATATAAATAACTATTATCGAGAATTAATTAAATTAAAACCTAATGTAACAAACAAGTATCGCAAAATATTATTGTGAAACTTACATCGTCGGAGATTCATAGACAAAAAGTTTGTGCCTTTGCTAACATCGATTACTTCGCTGAACAAGCAAGCAATCCAGATAGTTCTTTGTGTTTTCAAGTCTTTCAGGTCTTGTTCAGATACATATTCTTCAGTTATCATATTTCGCCAGGTGTCTTCTTATAGATTAATTTATCTTTATATATATTTACACCGATCAAATTTTTTAATGTGTATTTATAGCTGTTAAGTTATCCACATTGCTCTATTATTACATGACACAGCAGTGTGGATAAACTTAGGTTATAACAAAAGCAGGCCAAACTTTAGCTAGTGATCGTAAATTTTGGTTTGTGTTCATTAATGATGAGATCATTTAAAGACCTTTATATCTTTTAGAAGGTTTTACATTTTTTAAGGATTTTTTTTATTTTAAAGACAATTGAAGCTAAATACACAACAAAAGGTCTCTTATAGGTTTGTGTCTGTTACCTATGAGTTAAAGTAAGTCTTAGAAATATACTAGTGACGTAGTATAACTTCAATTAACTAATAAATTAATGTCACTAATACGAAATTCCTTAATGATGATATTTTAAATCAGGCTTACCCATCTCTAGTTTATGGTAATGTCTCACAAATAATTGTAAGATATTAACAAAATGTTCCTAAAACACAACACAATTGAAAAAGAAATGCTCACCATTTTTCATTAATGCTTTACTTCTTTTCACACACTATTTTTGTTTACAAATTATCGTTAACAGTGTGTAGGTATCACAACACAGCGTGTGTGTGTCTGAGCACACATCAGACTCGAATAAGCGGTAGCGGTGCGTCTTTGCCGTTTTTATATAAAACAAATTTACTCATCGTAGCGTTATCCTTATTCAGCGAGATAGTCAAATACTGAATAGCTTTTAAGTTATAATAATAATAATTTATAATTAAGAATGTGATGTGAACTTAGCAACCATTGCTTGCTTTATATGGTACTAGAGATTGTGCAATAAGTACAAGCGTATACATACCAGTGACGCTTACTCATTAAAGGTAGAGCTAAGATAGCAGAGTTTACAAAACCCATTGATAAACGTGCCGGTCATTTTCACTTTAAAAGTAGCGTAACATGTGGACACTTTTTTGTACTCCCACTTTTGTACTAAACTACAAGCCCACCAGAAACATGTATACAGAGGGACCAAGTTCAGAAAACGAACAATTGGTCCATCGACTTCGCCGATAAAATAATTTAAATCAAAGTGGAGTGAACTTCAAGTAAAGTTTCTGAAAACTTGCCTACAGAAATATATTACAACATGTTAATTCTTTTATCGATGAACGCGACCGACTCATTTCTTTGCCGGTCTGAATATAGCCCCCTTTTTCGTGCGTTACTAATTAGCGGTATATCAATTTTATTTCAAAAGTTAGAATATCTCTGATTACTACGGTTCAACAACGAAAACAAATTAAAGAATCGCAATCATTGATTGGTATGTAATTGGCCGCAATTCTGTGTATCAATTGTACCTTTTTTATTTCTATCATTTACAGGTTGGAAAAAATCAATATAGTAACGCGCCTCCTTGGTACGACCCTACGACTGGCCGTCACTATAGCGAGCGCGGACATATGACGTTGGCGTATAGGATGACGGACGTGTCGTGTGTGTTGTCTCTTGTCGCTTGAAGGTTTAAGAGGTGTCGTTCTGATCTCCCAAGGGTACTAAGACCCTAACCCGTTTCACTATAATATGACATAAGAGATTGTTTTTTTTTATTTTTTGTCACACGGCATTTTGCTACGGGGAAATACCGCAGATATTAATTGAATTTGGTTAGAGCAGTTTTCGAATTATGAATCGGAGTATGTCTGGGAAATAGTAGATATTAGTAGATTCGGTCTGTCTCTCCAGACATTGCTACGTCCTACTGGGTTTCATATGTTTGATATACATACCTAGAATATTATATGTGAAAAAATAAATTAATTAAATGAAATGATAAATTACACACACTTGCGTCATAATAAATTTATAAAATAACTTGTTGTTACGAATAGTAATTAATCTTTTCTCTTTCAGGATGTTTCTACCTATGTTTAGAAATAAGTTTTTTAAACATTGACGTATTTTAAATGATAAAGTGAACAAAATCTATTTATTTACAAATTATCTCCGTACCGAGTATTGAAAAAACCGACCTCACAAGTAATTCATCCCTTAGTTTGCCACCCTTAGAGGCGGAATATTTTCTTCAAATTTAAATGGGACTACTACTGAGGTACCCTCTTTCCAACAAAAAAAAAAGAATCATGAAAATTGGTTCACAAATACCTGAGTCATCGCGTAGCATACATACAAAAAAAAACCTTTTTTTGAAGTCGGTTAAAAAGATTTTCCAAAGAGAATTTAAGCACTACGTTTAAGATTTTCTTGCACGTTTGAAGTTTGCCTTTCGTAGGAGTTTGACTGTCGGTTTGGATTTTATTTTGGGTTTGTCTTTGGTTTTGTAGTAAGATTATATTTACGGTAAGTTTTAGGTATAGGTTAGGTTAGTAATACTAGGGTTATATAGGTGAAGGATAGGAGATTATGATTTGAATATGAATTACTGTATACTACTTATTAGTCTTCTATTTAGACTATTTTGTACTCTTAGCCAAATTTTTCTGATAAATAAGGTTTTGCCGTGGTAGCTTAATAGTTTAACCTACGCAGAGGGTCATGGGTTCGAATATGGGCTTCGAACTCACGACTATGTGCGAAATTGAATTTGAAATTTACCATGAGCTTTTGAGCAGTGAAGGAAAACGTCGTAAGGAAACCTGCATACGTTTGCAAAGCAATTGAATGATGAATGTGAAATTCCCAATCCGTTTTGGCCCGCGTGGGAACTACAGCCCAAGCCATCCCTTTGCGAGAAGAGGCCTGTGCCTAGCAGTGGGACTATATGTATATAGTCTAACTATTATTATTATTGTATAACGTTCTGATCATGTTTTTGATGAGTGTTAAAAGTATCGATATTCAAATTTTTACGTTTCGAGAATTAATTACACACGGCTTATTTAGCGGAACAAAAAAAAACTAAAAACATAAAGTAGTAACGATTAAATATTCAATTAAATAAGAATTAGATATAAAGAAGACATTATTTTACCATCTTTTATCATCTGCTTAGCAGCCTTACTCAACCTTTATTGAAAATCAATCAAAGAAGAATGGCGACACATCCCGTGTATTTTGTGACCCAGTGTTTTTGACGACGTGCATTAAGGAGACCTATCATGATTCATTATCAAAGGACAAATAAATACAGGACAATGTTATATGTTTATAACATTGTCATGTAATTTCGCTTCAGATGATTGTTCGTAGTAGCAAAAAACAAAAAGTTGTCAGTTTGTTCCCAAAAATAATAAAGAACTTCCCGAATATTTCCAAATCTGTCAAACTCTGCCACATTTAATATAAATTATCATGTTCTGCAAAAATGAAAATTAATATAAATTAAATCTGCTCAAATGGCAGAAATCTACCACAAATGGCCACACTGTTCTCAATATCAATATGACATTGATATTGACAAGATAATAATAATAATAATAACGTCAAAAGATGATGAGATGATGTCAAAACTTTGCAACTTTCATTATCTCTCATTTAAATATTGTCTAAATATTTTTGTCACATTGTGTTTTATTGTTTGCTTTATGTTATTACCAGGGATCGGAATAAGTAGAGTTTTTTTACCTAAACTGCGAGGAACATAGACAGAAAATGGAGACTGCCTTATGACTTTATTTTTTAGGTCCCAGGACCTTTTCGGGATTGGGGAAATCACTTAAGAGCATTAAAAATTGATGTAATGGGGGACAGGCAGGTACACTATATTTAGCTTAACTTTGCGACGCACAGTGGGTCGGATCTGCGATATTGCGGACATTGGATTTTTTTCACGATACCTCTCTGAAAAAAAATGCCAATCGAGAGATCCTATTATCCTAATTCAATACTGTCATATCATATTTTGCCATAAATATAATAGTTTAGTAGGAAAAAAATAAAATGTGTATTTTTTGAATGGGACCTTACATTTAGTGCCCCAGTCTTGGAATCACTACAGACGTATTATTAGACCTATCTCCTATAGACTTGCACACTAAACGCTTGATCAAAGCTGCCCTTATTCACTACTTATATTGCACATTTTCTAACGCGTATATTTTCCTGTATTCTAAAGAGATGTATACATCAAAAGTCATATCATATAGCTAAACACAGATTTAGTAGGAAATACCTAATTAAATCATTGAATAAGTGTTGTTAAAATATGCTTTCGTATTTGTAAAAAACCGTCTTTCAACACAAAAATAACATATTTCATAACGCATAGGCGAACACGTGACGTTAGTGTTTCGTTACGTACCTATTGGCTAAAAATGCCAAGCCCTAATCACTCTCATAATTTCCGGTTGACTACGACTACTACTTTTTTTATAAACGGAAAAGTACCTACTTTAGGCTATTCTGAAGTAGTTAAAAACGATTTCTTGCCTTTCTTTCACGATAAGAAGATAAATGGTTGCGTGTCTTACTGACACTACGATTTTTTATTATCAATTTTTATAGTATTCAAAATCGGCAAAATGTTTAGTTAGACATTTCAGTAGCAGTAGACCTCCTTATAAAAGAGTTCGTCCAGGGAAGTACTCTACTTCAGCCGAAGCGCCCGTCGGCATAAGCATTCCGTCCCGACATCGTGCTCGCGCCTGATCTCTCTTCAGGGGGCCTACACTAGACTATAGTTCCGAACTCACAACGTGACTATTAAGACTCGGCTTGTTTTATTATTTTTCTTCATAAAAATGCGGGATAATTATTGAAAACAACGTAATTTTAATAGATTTTATTATTACATACTTTTCTTTTCTTAACAGTAAAAATTCTCTGAATGTAAATAACATTAGGTACTTAAACATTATACTATAAGACGATTCGGAACATCAAAAAGGAAAGAGATGGCATTATATAGTTCACATAGCGTTATCTCTTTCCGATTTTTAGTAAGGAATACACAATATTGGGAAATCATTCGTTCTTTCAACCACTTTTGCAATAATACATTACTTGGTTGACAGGTTCGTCATGGTACGAATATGAGTATATTACAATAAGCTTACTTTAAGTTTACATTGAAATAAACTTGTTTTTGGAAAGGTTGTGGTAGGCCCCCAGATCAGTTTGACGCATTTCACGGTGCGTGCCTAATCTCGCCCTGCATACTTGCATAGTCGCACTCGGCTTTCCGAAGGCTGCCGAAGCATCCCCAAGGCTGCCTAGGCATTCCGGAGACTGCCGGCTCGGCATCCCTAAGCATACTGCATACCGTCAGTAAGTAAGCTCACAGAAAGAAAAATACTAGTATTTGGTGAAATTACAGGCACATGAGACTTGTCTTCTTTTGTCTTAGGGTGACGGGCGCAGTGGCGGTGCCCCCAGATCTTTATGATTTAAAGCTCTGAGTAACACTACAACTGTTATAGACAGGCGTGGCGTAACTTACTACCAGGCGCACGACTTGTTACTTGGTATAATTAAAAAAAGTTCTGTCAATAGAACTGTACAACATAACAGTTAACAGGGAGGGCAGGGCTCTGATTTTGAAGGGTGGTTTTGGTGAAATTACAAGCACGAGTTATTTATTCCCTGTCCTCTGATCGGAATTATACGATCAGTAGGAGGAGCGGGAATACTGTTTCCCATGCCTCCGATTGAGTATCAATTGTAAGCATTGTACTAGTGAAAAATAATGGGACTTGTCAACTTATATCAGATCTGAAGAAGTGTTTAAGTGCTCTTGGCACTAAACATAAGACCTTGACTTTGGTAATGTGCTGGTTTTTCTTGTCATTCAATTTGGAACATAGAGGGTTTAAAGTAACTAATATCACCAGCTTAATTTTAAGGAAAACATAGCAAAGAAGAAATTTGCATATCGAAGTTTCAAAACACTAACTAGGTATATTGAAGTCCGCAGCTCTAACGTGGTGGACTATGGGCTAAACCGCTAAACACTCAGCCAAGACCCGTGCTTCGCAGTAGGATGTACAAGATTTGATGCAATGCAGTACAATAATTACAATTTTTATAAGAGTTTCAAATCACAAGTTGATAATTCCGTCTGTAAAAAGAATTAAATGATTATTATCTATCATTTAATATAAATCATGATTATATTATAGATATAAAATCAGTACTTTAACTTTAGCCATTGCTAAAGGTCTAATAAATTAAAAACTATTTAATACATATAAATATTTAAGAGTTAGCATTAAATGATACAAAGTAAATTTAAAAATTAAAATTTGTTTATTTAAATACAACTATACATAATCGTAATAATACATGACTCCTCATATCCTCGTTTTGCAAATGAAATGTGAGAATATTAAATCCGAATCGGATTTTGGAAATGTACACATTTCTGTTTACACGAATATACCGGAAGGCTTAGTTTATAAACTAGAGCACTTAGTGATTCATTGACAATTCTTTACATGTCAATCACATAGACAAGTATTTAACCTTTTGACCGCCATAGATGCTTTAAGCACCAATGAAACCATATGATATTTGTATATTCTAGTTAAGTATGGATTCATAGTTGCATTTAGTGGTAGGTTTTTGTTTAACTTAAGAGAATTTAATTAATATAAGGTTAAAATTCATAATATGTCACATCACTAGACTTGGCGTCTAGGAAACAATACTAGCTTTTGTCAGTTGCGGTCAAAAGGTTAACTACTACTATATCGACTATATTGTATAGGTGCTGCTGTTTTGTCCACCCATGTAAAGACTACTGCTTGAGGTAGATTTGTATCGACATGACAGGACATATCAATATAAGGTTTGATGAACTAATATACCCGATCGACTGTATATGTTTACTTGTATCCAGTTAGCATTATCTGCAGGATGGTAGATACAAACAACAGTGACATGGGAAGTATTCTTGAAGCTTTTGCTTGGGTGAGCGTGAGACTTGGCGGACTTAATACTTCTGAACTTTGCATCAATAATGTATCAATTGCTGCATATGCTTCGTGAACTACATGCTGAAAAAGTACGATTTTGTAAATATTTATTTACTATTTATATTTCAAAGAGTTCCATGACCTTATCTAGTCATCCGGCACAACAGACTGCCGATTAGGCTTGCCAGATGACCAAGGGAAATCCGGGATTGTCCCGAAATTATTCATCTTGTCCCGTGTCCAGTAATTAGACTTTACTGTCCCGGATTCAAAACACTTAGAGTTACACATGGCGACTTTTAGCAGCGAAGCAAACGCACGTTTGTGAAACGCTGTGAAATGCTAGCATTTAGCTAGAGCTCCTTGTGAAAGAATTCGTCCATGGGAAGTACTCCCACCAAACCTATTTCTGCCGCCAAGCACTAATATTAGCATTACTGCGTTCCGGTACAGAACGGTAAGGGTGCTGGTGAAATTACAGGCACATGGGACTTGTCAACTCATGTCTCAGGGTGACAGGCGGAGTGTTAGTGCCCCCGAGATCAGTTGATATTATTAAAAAAATAGTAAATTTTGTAAGTAAAGTTATTACCTACAATTAAAATCGTGTGCTCATTTGAGCAGCAGATAGTATACTATAATTTTAATACTGAACTAGACTATAAAATCTAAAGTTTAAGAATGTAATGACCTCGGTAATAAGTTTCATATTGTACGAGTCCGTAGGCCGGAACATCATGATGGTATATGTATTGTCTATACCGACGTGGCTGTCCACCCAATCCTCAATTCCACCTGCATACAAGGCTGCAATAAACATGCACAAATTTAATACATAATAATAAAGAGCTGTCACAAGAGGATACGTATAAATGTAAGATAGGACCGCACTGTGCTGAACTTTATTACACTGGCATGCAATGAGGCAGGCTTTACTACTCGTAGAGTTCTAGCCTTAGCGAATTAATAGAAAAGGTCGGCTCACATAATTTATTTCCAAGTAGACGCGAAAAGGCTCAAAAAAATCTATATACATAATCTAAAAACAGTGAATCACATGAACCTCGAATTTTATATGAGGGTGATTTATGAGCACGTCCTCTCGTTTTGAGAATTTCGATGGGAGTGATGGCGGATGAACCAACGTAAGAATAGTGGAAGGAAAAGGGAATTCGAGAAGGATTAAAATTTTAAAAGTTAGTGGCCAGGAACAAGTAATGAAGGTGATGAAAAGATGAGATGACGATGAAGAAGGTCAGCAACAGACTTTATTTCCCATATGTTTCGCTCCTCCCGATAGGGAGTTGGTTACCTAGATATCCTAAAAAACACTAAAAGTGAATTAATCGGAGGCCGTAGACCGTAGTAGTCTAGATTATGACGTTGTGTGCAAGTAAATGCAATTTGTTTCAGTGGCTTTCAAAAGAAAGGAAGGCTTTTTTTTAAATTACTGAGTACTTTAAAACATTATACAGTATTTAACGAAATCATGTCGGTAAAACAAGTGCGCGCGCCATATTGCGTTTTTCTTCTTATTGGCGGAAAGCCGCAGCGTGGTCGTCTAAACGACGACATCACGGGCCGTGGGAACGTACCATTACGCTGGTGGAGTTACAACGTGCTATACCAGTAAAGCAATTATAATATGGCCAAGCGTAACCAGCTCCGTAACATATTGTAATTTTGAAAAACTTCAATAACTTGACTGCTTAGACGGCTTCAAAAAGAAAAAGCATTGTGTTATTGGATAAACGTAACGACTTAACTTAATTTTGGCATATTTAAAGAAAGCTCGAATGAAGGTTTAAAAACATAAAACAACGTATACACATAAAGAGTACAATAATTTTGAAAAAGTTTAATAATGTTGACTACATCGTTTGCTTCATTGGATTCAAAGCAGCTCGGTTAATATGATTCATACATTATTGTATAAGTAATACCACACTTGCCGCAGTAGTAAAAACACAATAGAGATGAGATTTTATGTTCAATTAGGTAGTTTTTAATCGAAAGACGAAAACGCTGTATTTCTGCGGGGATGGCAGTTGGACTCTACCATTTATGCAGTGAGTGAAACTGGTCATAAAATGTTACTACGAGCTAGCAATAGTAATAACTTAATATGGTTAAATCTATTGGAGATGTAGTAATATTATTACTGGCGTAGCAACAGTGTTTGATGTTGTAGTTTCCACGGATTCCATTATCTTTAATATAACTTATATATTATAATACAATAAAATAAAAACTTATATATTATATACATATAATGGTATAATCTTTATATGCATACCGCATAGTCTATTTGCAAATTTTAGAAAACACAAAAGATAGAACATTAAAGAAAGTAAAAAGATAATTTATCCGTATAAGGCCTAATTTTTTTTCTTGTTTTGACCTTGATCCCAAATTTATTAAACGCTTTTTTTATTAAGGCTGTATTTCGCCCGTCATTGGGTACCTATATATAAAGGAAATGAGCAGAAAACTGCTAATTATGATACGAAATAATAATAATAATAACGTACACACTCAACATAGCCCCGCACTAGGGAAACCCTGTGTCGCGGGTGTCATGGACACACATAAACAACCACAAATTACACCCAAACTCACGGGAGAAATAAATGTAGGCCATACAAATATTTCTCCCGGCCCGGGAATCGAACCTGGGACCTCTGCGTGGCAGTCCGGCATGGTAACCGTTCGGCCACAGAGGCACTGAAATGCGAGATAATAACTGTTTGAAGTGCCTTCAAATTAGACGCTTCTAGAAGGGTTGCGCGTCCTAGTGGCGCGACAGTGGCACGTCTGTAGCGCTTCAGTAATTTTTATTAACTAATTGTGACTGCACAAGTGGCGCGTGCGTGTCACGTCAATGGCACAGCAACTGCGCTTCTAAATTTTGTATTAAAATTAGTAGAGGCGCGGCTACAGCGCCACTGCAGCGCGATTATAAGCGTCTAATTTGAAGGCGCCCTTAGTTCCGTGACTTTTCGTAGTTTACAAGGAAGTGCATAAATGGAGGGTTGAGCTAGTCATACGTGCAGCAGGGTGCACCGCACATTTCAGAACGCTTCAATCGCCCTCATACAAAGTCTGGCATACTGTCTTATTGAATAAGCTGTACAATTCAGCGTGCAAAATTGTCTTGTGTTCATTATCTGAGAGTTTTTGACAAATTCCGCTAAGTCCCTATTCTTCCAATGTACACCAGTGACATATATACATATCAATCCGTTAATGTCCCTCTCTTGTCGGTGACACTGCGATGTACTTTCAGTGAATAACCCCAAACTAGTTTTTACGGCTCTTCAATCGAGATCGAGGACCCAAGACCTCGAGGGACTTCTTCGCTCAAGTAACCTCGTCGTAAAAGATACAATGTCCATCAAAAAATGTTAACAACAGCTGATGGCTCTGAATGAACTGGATGAACTGAATGGCTCATCTAAACCGGTTTTCATTAACGAGCATCTAACACCACAAAATAAGTTGCTGTACAAACAAGCCCGGTTTTTGGCAAGGGATAAAGGCTATTTATTCATTTGTATGGTTATCGGATTGTAAAATATTCGTACGTAAAAATGAAACTTCTAAAGTTATATTAATTACTAACGAAAAGGACCTTATTAAAATAAAATGACTACGAATATGTCAATTGCCTGTCTTAAAAATGTTAATTAGTATGTATCATTTGGTGGTAAATTGTTATAATAAAGTAAGAATTGTGTTGTCATTCGTATATTGTCGTATAAATAATATATGTTTTTTCTGTGAAAGTTTAGTTATTGTTATTGGTGGAACCCATTTAAGCGTGTTTTTATTATTTTTTGTTACAAAAATTCTCTAAGAATAACGTAAGTATTTATTATCAAAATGCGAGAGGATGCGCACGAAGTCGCACAATTTTTTAAGTAATATTTTGAATTCCAACTATGATATCGTGTATGTTACAGAAACTTGGCTTAACCACAACTTTTATGACCGTGAATACTTTGATAGCCAATATGAAGTTTTTCGATGCGACCGTAATAAGTCATCAAGCGGTTATGAGCGGGGCGGCGGGGTATTGATCGCCGCACGGCGTGAATTATGCTCCCATAACCTTACGGACATGCGTGCTCCTGCGCCGGCCGAGGAGGTATGGGTCTCGATCCCGCTTCGCGCGGGTACTGTCTCCCATTCTAATGCCACTCCGCAATATTTACATATTATACTAACATATATAGTTCACGGTCACAACCATGAATCTCTTTTAACATCCTTTTACAACAGAGTAAATGAATTCATAAATACGAAACCTAATGACATATTTTTAGTGGTTGGCGACTTTAACGTTTCTCATGCTCTTTGGTACTCTATTGAATCTTCTAACACCTTAGATATACAAACAAATAATGATGTTTTATCTAGCCTCACAGCTGATTTTATGAACATGTCTTTATTATCGCAATATAACTGTCAATATAATGTTATAATAGTCTATCGTTTATGTAAACGAACAAAGACAGACCAGTTTCGCCCGCGGGCGAAATAACGTTTGTTCCAATTTTCATTACACCGACAATCGAATTGTAACGAAACAGTTGTTCTTTCATATGTTGAATGTTTATCGCAAAGACACGATTAGGTTCGGTTAGGTTAGATTAAGTTAGGTTTAAAAGAAAAAACATTTTCCCCTTTAAATTACTTTCGAGGTTATGAAATTTCTGGTTTGCCGTTTAGATTGGACACTCCAGGCAATATCCGATTGGGACAATACTAATCTTGTCAAATTTAACGTTACCAAAACGCAGGCGTGTCTATTCTCCACAAAACGGAGTCACTTTGAGCTGACTCCGACTTTTTCTCCGAAACTTGGGAGAAAAAGTCGGAGCCGGTCTTTCCAGTGTGAGTCGTTACTTTACACCGGGACAGTTGCTTCAGCTGTACCAAGCACAAGTCGATCGTGCACGGAGTACTGCTGCCACCTTTGGGATGTCTCTGCGACATATCAACTGGCCTCTTTGGATTCTATTGACAACCGTGGCAAGAGGATTATATAGGTGACACGGAATTAGTGGAGGCGAAGCTGCAGAGCCTTGAATACCGCCGTAAAGTTGCCTGCTTATCAGTATTTTACAGGAGATATCACGACCGAGAGTGTGCGATGGAATTACACGATTTAATTCTGCCTTCCCCTTTCCATCACACCGGGGGACTAGGCGTAAGCTTGGGTTCCATCCCTGTTGTGGATATTCCAAAGATTCGCACGACGCGTTACGCTTCCACATTTATATGGCGAACGGCTATAGAGTGAAATTCCCTGCCTGCAGACTTGTCCCTGAACGTTATAACTTGGGTCTTTTCAAGGCGAGCGTGAATAGGCATTATTTAGGTATGTATGCTCCATCGTCGAGGTCATCGTCACTTTCCATCAGGTGAGATGGAGGTCAAATGCGCAGTTATATTTTATAAAAAAAAATTCGACCAAACGTGATTTCTGGAACATGTCATTTCGGACTACTGATAGGCAACCAAAAATACTCTGAAAAGAAACAGTAAGAAACAGGTTAAAGGCATTTTTCATCAAACAATACTCTAGTATTGTTTGAAGAAAAATGTGCTTAAGTATTAATATTACTAGTTATTTTTGCTAGTAGTATTATCAGTTAAAGTAACATCAAATTTAAAATACACGCCCGAACACAACTTTCGAGTCACCTTGAATTTTTATTTTAAAGACCAGGGAATATAAAAATATTTTTTTATTAAAGAAAAAGTTTTTATGCAGTTTTAATGCTGGCAAGTTTCCCCGTTAT